ATTGTTTGATTGTGGAGAATTAATCCATAATTCCTTTATTGCTACTTAATGACTACACCCCTCTTGTTATAAAGAAAAAAAAAGTTAATTGAAAATACAACAAAATCTTTAAAGTACCTTTAATAAATAATTCACAAATTTTGATCTCTCTTAGAGGAGAGATTATTCTTTGCGGACACCGGACGGTCGGTGACGGAGAGAACCGTCCGATTTTCTTTCTGTCTGCAGTCAAAGCACAGTTACTGTAGCAGTTGCGTGTTGATTACGCTTTTACTGTGGACAGGATATCCACACATAATAAAAAGTCCTCTTAGAAACTCCACAATTAAATTTGCATACCAATTGTCTTCGTAGGGAAAAATTAAACTTACAACTTAGTAATTCTAAACATAATTGACATGGTCACATGTTTAAAACACTAATTTATCTTCCATTTTTTTATCATTTTGATTTTTCCAAACAGAAACCTTCCTTATGATTGTCAATCAAACATAACATCTCTTATTGACAGATTGTTTCTACTCGGCCTTGAGAAGTTTGGCAAAGGTGATTGGAGAAGCATATCGAGGAATTTTGTCGTGTCGAGAACCCCTACTCAAGTTGCAAGCCATGCCCAGAAGTATTTCATCCGCCTAAATTCAATTAATAGAGATCGACGCAGATCAAGCATCCATGACATTACAAATGTAAATGGTGGCGACGCACCTACGTCGCAAGGGCCTATCACTGGTCAGGGCATTGTGAATTCTGCACCAGCTGTAGGATCCTTCATTAATCAGCCCCCACAGCCAAATATTCCTGCTATGGGAATATATGGAACACCTATGGGACATCCAGTTCCAGGTCATATGGTTTCTGCTGCCGTTGGTACTCCTGTCATGATTCCTCCTGGGCATGCTCCTTATGTTATGCCAGTTGCTTATCCAATTCCTCCAACAATGCATCAATAGCATTAAATTCTACTGATTTCATCCTCAAAGCAGAAGGCTCAAAGGAAGAAGATGAAACTTTGGAGCTGCAGCAGTACTTGATGAGTGCTGGTAAGTTAACATATCTATGGCTGGGTTACATTTCATTCATTTTGAAGCCGTTTAGCCTACGTTGCAGCCAGCACTATGAGTTCAATTTGATATTCACATCTGGCTTTGCTTAGATGTAATATATATTCTTGTTTGTTTGTCTGAACTATAGGGATTTTTATTGTAAATAGTATTATTTGATCCATTTTGTGCTCATTATGGAACTTTAATAATTAAACAATGCTTGTTATTTTGATATGATATCTTACATATTAGAGGAGTTTTCCAACATATAAATAAGCTTTTTTTTTTTCCTTTTCTTTTGTGAAATATATCACATAGATGGAGATGGTTTAAAAAATATGTTGATTTGAATAGGTGTAAAAGATTTTCCTTCTGATCATTACAGTTGAAATAGAAAGAG